ACATATATACTAAGTAATAACTGATCAGACTAACTGTAGTGTAAGTAATTTTGACATTATGACACTGGTGTCTGTAGAGTGAAGTTTAGTACTTCCAACAGAATGCCAGAAACTTCGTGCACACCTCAAAATATACCAAACAAAATGAAATGGGAGTATCAACTGTTAGAAAGGGGCAAACGTTGTTAGTACCACATGAATAAAGGAAAGTATGTTGAAAAATCAAAACAGGGCTCTTGTAAAGCTTTTCAATGATAGGTGAATGACAGATGATACAAGTGTTATACTAAATAATTGGATGTAAGTTGTATTTTGAAAGTAATATTCCTCAGTGGCCATTATAAAGATGGATTTTATTAAGAGATTGTGTTCAGATCTACACTGGAAATCCAGATACTTGCATCACCTCACCAGGACTTGATGCAGTGTGATTGTAGGAATCATTTATTCCTTGTTAGTAATGGTTCTGTCAATTCACTGGAGGCTTTTAATAATTTGTTCAACCTTAGTCATTCTCTTGCATGATTAAAATAAACATGATAAAACTTACTTCCTATTTTTCTTTATTTGAATTTGGTCATATGTTTTTTCATGGGTTTCTCAAAACCATTTGCTGAAGTATAGAGGGACAGCTTTGTTTCAAAGACTTAAGCGGTCAATGACTTCAAAGAAATGAAGATGCCTTTTTTTGTTGTCGTGAAAATTTACTCAAGTGGCTTTAAAATCATATTGTATCCTTATTTGAAAGTTACTTTAAAATAACAATGTATTATTAATAGTAAAGTCATCCATGTTCTATACTTATGTTCATGTGACTGTTGTGTTTAAAATTCCACAAAACTAGCTCTGAAAACAGTTGAAAACCTTGTTTCAGTCAGCATGTAGAAAAGTGGCCTAAGTAGAGAAGAAAAGAGTCTTACTCACTTTTTCATGCTGTTTTTCTTTATTGAACTTAGAATTATTTGTTGACCAGGTAACATGGAATTCATATGCTAAAAGTAATATTGAGTAAACAATAGTATGATTTTTTTTTTCTTAAATGAAATTGAAAATGCTGGCCTTATGGGGAGGGGTGGAGGAAGTTATAACAGATGATGTTGCTGTTGTAGTGCATTGTGGTGTCTGTAGATAATCAGCATAACAACATCAGTGTAACAGTGCTCTGCAGACACTTCGTTTTAGTAAACAAGGCACTGAATGAGCTTGCAGGAAGGTCTTAGTAGTTTTAGCTAATGCAGTAGACCAAGTATAATGAATTTGAGCAGCAGCAACAAAGCATCTACATACATCACTGAAGTGCTTAATTTTGAGTTATGCTAATACATATTTACAGCTCCTCATAATGCATTTTAATAATAGGATGCTAAAATTATGTCCTGTATTTGACATTTTTAAAATGGATAGACCTAATAGCAATATATATTCCATTTTAGCTTAGAGGAATTTCAAGTGGTGAAATTTAGGTTGTTCCAGCCATCTGGCTACTGATTTAACGTCTCAGAAAGCAGTTTACTCTTGCAGATCACAGAACTTTATTGGTTACTGATGCTTTGCCTCTGGTCTGTAAAGTTTTCCTATTAAGCCATGAAATCAATGTATTACCAGCACAGGATTTTGAGCAAAATTTAAACCTTCCTTAATTCTGTCACATAAGTAACATTCATTTTCTTCAATACTTTGTATTTCACAGTGGAAGAGATGGAAGCTTCTGACTAAAACGTGTATTTTATTCAAGTTTCCATTTTATTAAGGAGATAAAGTTAGTATAAGACAAATGTGGAATGCACTGAAGAGACATATTTGGCATACCAATATAAACTTGTTGAAACGGAGACAAGATTGTCTGCTTTATGCATCTGATTTTTAAGATCTGAGAGAAGATTCCTGCAGAAATAAATTCTGAATGGCTTGCTTGCTTATTGTTTGTTTTTCTTTTTTTTCCTTCCCCTAGGAAATAGTTGTTACCTATAGAACAAATCCAAACATATTCAGTGAACAGTAGAATGCTATCTTTAAACCACATTTTCATGTGCAGAAACCTGCATGGAATTCAAGCACATGTACTTAATTACCTCTGTATTAGAAATGTATGACACCTGTGAAATTTGAAATTCTAGAGTGTTTATGAAAATTTACAAGCAGTAGTGGGGAATCTGTTCTGTGTAAATGTGTACCATGAACCCATTTTGAATGAAAGTAGTTGCTTCAGGCCACATTCAGTTTTTCTTTACATAAACTAAAATACCCTAAAAGTACAGAGTTTACACTGAAGACACTTTTATTGTTCTGGGTAACGTAATTTTTAGATATATCCTGGTTAAACACTACATTCAAGTTTCATTTTTGATGAACAGAAAGCTTTTACTGAAGATATTCAAATACATCAATACCAGATGAATATCCCTTAGATGAAAATTTCTATGACTCATTAAGGCAATAACTTGGAATTAATGAAATAAAGCTCAATTTGGATACAGATCCCCTTCCATCTCCAAGTGCATTATTACACGCCATTTTCAATATTCAGGGTATGTTTAAGATGGTGCATTCTTTCTTGCTGAAGAAACACTTTTGTTTTACTGAGCATGAGACAGCAAGACATGTTTGGGATCTACGGTACCGGTGGGGCCATTCTTCAGCTTAAAACCAAGAAGACTGCATCGAAAGTGTAGACATAGTATATAGCTCAGAGCTATTGGGAAAATATAGCCATTGTTGGTTCATATTAGCTTCTGCAGCTATTTCCCACCTATAGAGACCACTGGACTTAGAATGCTTTTAAGCATGTCATTTCAGAAGAATTTCAATTTTTCATCGATCATTTTTATATTACTGATGTGAATTTGGGAAGAGAAATTATGTCAAAGGGCAGAAAAAAAGACTTAAGAAAGGAAGCTTCCAAAACCTGTTGTGCTTATCCCTGGCCCAAAAAGTGTTGACAAATTGTAAGGAATTTACTAAACAGCAAAAATTGAGAATAAAAGCTTAAATTGGTGTAAGATAGAGCAATGGCAAAGCGCAGTGATGGAAGAAAAGGTCTTCTCTGCAGGACTGACCCTTCATCTTTTCAAATGAGCCAAGGGTGTGTACTGGTGCTGCCTCTAATTAGGGTAATCCAGCCCTTGAGCCTGGATGGCAGCTTTGTTTGCTTAAAGCCCTTTGTCCCTAAGTAGGGCTGCATTTTGTCCTTTCACCGTAAGAGTAATATACCTTTTGGCTGGCAGAGGTGGTGGTGTCTGTTACTTTTAAAATAATTTGCTTTAATAAAAGCCTCTGTATAGATCCTTGATTTGCTCAGGGAACTAGTGTAGCATTATCTACACAAAAGTACTACTGTGCTGTCAGAAGCTCCATCTAAAGTAAGGTGTTTCTTTAAAGCATGCGTAGCTTTATCCTTCATATAAAGCAGCTTCATATCCCTTGTTCTGCAGTCTAGAGATGAAGACCTGAATTAATCCATCTCACAGTACTTACAGCTATGCATCCTGTCACAGAAAGTCTGGTTTATGGCATATGTGGACATTAGAAGCTGCTTGAAGGGTGAAAACTGGCACCTGCTTATGGATCTTGGTAAAAAAAGACCAAGGAAGAGTCCAAATTGTGTGAACTGCTGCACAATTATAGTGGGAAGTAAAGCAAATATGTTAAAAATAACATAGTAGTATAGCACTAGTAGTTAGGCTTCTCAAATGTAGGAGTGCTCTGTAAGGGGAAATTGTGAATGTATTTTTAGAAATACAGGTGAACTTTTTATTGAGGCAAAGACAGCGATTGCTTTAAAACATAAGGTAGTTCAGTACTTGATGAGGAGAATGCTGGAATCTAGGCTTAAGAAGACAAAATCATATGTAATAATTATTAAAATAGTCTTGATCTTTATATCTTCAGAGTATGATTTTCTCCATCAAGGGTGAAATCAGTGACACTTTGAAAACAATGGGAAGTGTTTTCAAACTCAGAATGTTCCTGCACGTCTGTGCAAAATCCTAAGTCTTTTTGATTTCTGCTTGTTTCAGCATCTTGACTGTAATGAAGAAAGAGCAATTTAACAAACTTGGAACTTGTAGCAGATAATGTTGGGGAAATACTTTTTTTTTAAATTGTATTTGTCAGTAATATGTCTGAGGAGCAAAAACCTTCTCATGTGCTAGTTAATTTTCTCAGTAGGTCTACACATATAAAAATTTAAACTTCCCTTCCTGTTTTCCCACAGAGCTGCGCACAAGGAAAGTGGTAAATGGATGGAACCTTTGAATTGTCCTTTCCATTGGGAAGCTGAATTAGCTTAGTGTAGAGTGTGGAGAAGCAGGAAATAAGATTCTGAAAAAAAGTAGTACTTCCTAAAGCAGTGTCCCCCTTAAGGATGTGTAATTCATGCATTATCCTTGATATCGAGGCTATAGGTAGTCACAAACTAATCCTAACTGCAATTTGAATGACAATAATTGAGATTCGATACAGATTTTGTAATTCTGTTAGTTACATTTATGATATTAATAAAACAGCCGCCTATTCCATCTTACATACAAAATATTTTACGACAATGTTTTATCCCAGAATTGACCTATCAATGCAATTGATAACGCAATATATTATTTTTCTTAAAATAATATTTAATTTAACTTATACATGACTTGATATCAGACTTAAGATAAATCCTGTTGCAATGCAAAAGAATTAAAAAAACATGGTAAAGATAAGTTTTCAGTTTTTTGCATGAAGCCAAGGCACACTAAAAAATAATTATCAGTAAACAACTCTCCTGCAATCTTAAAGTATGAGTACACTTAGCACTTTAGATATAACTAATTAAAGTTTTTTGTAAATTCAATTTTGTTGAATTTATGCTAGGTTAGTGTAAAGGCATTTATGGGAACTTTGACAAACAGTTATTGTTTATCAGTTATGCTCATGTTAAGCTTGCTTATGATAGGCTTACTGCTGAAACTTTGAAACGGTCCCATTAGTTTTATATTGCTATTTATGGATTGTACTTCAAGGCAAACAATGTCAGAATCCGAGCATCTGACCTCAAACTTTTCAGAGTGGGAAATGGGCGAATGTCTGAGAAGAAGCACTTTTAAGCTATGGTAAAAACCTTCCTTGACTGAAATTAGAAACTTATTTTGCCATTGATTGCAGAGGGGCTATATTTTGTGCCGGTAATTAGGGAAGTTCTGAAACACGTGATGTAAATTGGAGATTCTTCCCATGATGCCAGAAGAAGTGATGACATACTGAAAAAGGATATTTGATTCAACAACTTTACAGTGATTTTTGGTCAGAAGATCAAGAATTTGAATGTATTTGCAAGTATAAGGTGCACAAGTGTAAAAAAAACAAAGTTGGTTTTGTTTTCTCGCTAGAAGCCTGACGTGCATGTATTGGAAAATATGAAACTCAGATTTGACTGGGGGAGGTCCAGGAGAGAAAGGAGAAGAAGAGAGTGAGAACAGCAAAGTAATATGGCTCTGCCTTTCAAGCAGGCTATCACTTGAGTCAGGGTACTGTAGAAATCCTTTAGATCTTTGGTTTCCAGACATACTGAAATTCAGTTTTCACTGGAGTCTCTTGTCTCTAACAGTATTTTTCCTTTTTGTGTTAGTGTGTTGAAGCATTATATTATTAGGGCAAAAAGTTGCAAAATAAATAATTCCAGGCTTGCAGTCTGCAGCACCATGAAATTATAGAATTGTGTAGATAGTCAGATACTCTTATTCCTGGCAATTTGTAATGCAGAAACGTTTAAACACTTTTTCAGATCAGTGTTCTAGAATCTACTATAGTAGAAAGTAATGTTTAGCCTCTTGTTTTATTTTTTCTTCTTTTTTTTTCTTTGTCTTGTTTTATTTTGGGATGTTTTCTTCTTTTTCTTTAGGATGGTGAGCCAGTTAGACCAGGAGTAGCCATGACAGATCTTGCTACTGGGTTGTATACATATGGAGCAATTATGGCTGGCTTACTTCAGAGATATAAGACTGGGAAAGGACTGCACATTGACTGTAATCTTTTGTCATCTCAGGTATGAGTTTTAAAAACATTGCTTTTATTTTTGCTGATGTTTGAACCTAAGAATGCCATTTTGACATAAATTACTGCAAGTTACTGCAACTAATGACAAAAGTAATAATGACAATAATAGCATTGGTGACAGTTTCCTTATTTTGCCACTCTGGCAGTGACCATTTTATGTGAAATGGTTGTAGTTATTACTGCATTATGTTTGCTTTTCACTTTTTACAAAGGACCTGCATGTTCTTTGAAAACATGGGTTATTCAAGGTTTATAATATCCCCAAGATTGTAAGTAACAGTTGTGGTAGGTAATTTGAGATAGACAAACATAAATGGTAAAATCACTGTTTGAAGGGAAGCCTTGGCGGTGGGCTATATTACTACTAGTGTTTGAGTAAAGGGAAAATCGTTCAGAGTAATCAAGTATCACCCAAGTATCAAAGTAATCTAATCTGTGAAGTCTGCTGGCTCTGGAAATTAAAGGAATAAAGTAAGCCTGAAGTTGCAGCATTTTCTCTAGGCACGTTACAATCTTGATGAGATTTCTCTTTAAAGACAAAGATGTTTTCATTTTAAAGTGTGCCATATACCACAAATAATGAGAACTTTAAATTGCCCTTGAACATTTAAACATCATTGGTGCAATGATTTATACTTCACAGAAAGAAAGTGATGCTGGTATGAGCTTTGAGTGTTATTGGATAATACCTTATCTTGCTGAGGTAGGTAACTGCTGGTAGCAACAGGTTAGATGGTGTGTAGAAATTTTTGTGTACGTTTTAAAATGTACATCAAAACTGTATGCAGTACTACTTGAAGCTACCACGTTTTTTTTTGTCTATATTCAATTGTATGTTTCTTCACATTATACCTGTCAGTACAGTTGAAAGATGATACAGTACCCATTGTGTAACAACCTGCTCCTGGTATGAGCAGCAGGTTGGACCAGATGACCTCCAAAACTTCCTTCCCACCTGTATCATTGTATGGTAATAATGACTGAGAGTAATGATTGAGGTTCCACTTGTTTTAATACCTACTGAATTTAGATCTGCAAAGGAGAAGAAGCCCTTGCTTAAATCAACAAAGAATTTTTCATTTGTTTCAGAAATGTTTGTAAGAACTGAACTCTTCATCATACTTATGTATAATTGTAAATGTTGTGTCTGTATTTGAAAAATGTAATAAGCAGTTTAGAAAAATATATTTTAAATTATTGTTAAACTCTTATTAAATATTTTGTATAGATATGGAAATATTTTTTGTTTAATATACCTTATAGTGTTTTGTAATATGGCAACTTCTGCTAGATCTTAATTTCTGTTTTTATTAACAGGACTTCCAGTAATTTCTAGTGATTTCTTATTCTTGATTACTCTTCCTTTTTTTTTTTTTTCAGTCAAGCCGTGTTGATTATTGTTTGATCATTTATCAAATGCTGAATGTAAGAAGAGTTAAAGTTACGTGTTGCTGTAACTCTCCTTTTATTTGACCGTTACTTTGTCACCTCACTTTTCTTTAGAATCTTTTTCCTTGGTTAGGATAGCTTTGGCTATGCACAAAAGTGCTCTCATGTTGCAAAATTTCCACCTGAAGTTTCACATCATCATCCTTTAGGCTACTCACTGGCATACACAAGAAAGGAAATGAAGACTCAGATAGATGTTAGTGAACAAAGCATGACGTTTGGTGTTTGACTTCTACATGCCTAGCAGAAGTAGTACTAAATGGTGAAGTGACAGTTTAGTGCCTTTTTTTATAGATGAGCCTATTACTGCAGTCCAGATTAACGTTAGGGTTTTGGCCCAAGTCTGTAATGAGAACATTTATTGAATTGGAAAAAATATTTATGGATGAGGTGCTGAGGTACAAAATTAAACCCATGTGATCAATTCCCTTAAAGCACTTGTCATTTACATTACTCTTCATTGATTTTAACATCTGAGAATCTCTGAGAACATATAATTTTCCTGGTTAATTTTCTTTCTTTTTGCAAAACTGGTGGCTACTTGTAAATCTTTAAGGGTGAGTGTACTAAGAAAGAGTAGCGCAAATCTAAAAATTATTGTAAAAAAATTGCTCTTGCATGACTTCTAGTGATAATGGTTTTTTGTTTTTGTTTTTTAAGGAAAGTTCATTACTGTGATATGATCAGGTTCTTGAAAGATTTATGCTTTCAAAGGAATTAATGGTTCTACATATCAAGCTGAGATATCTAAAGCTAGCTCTTCCTCATGTGATGAATGTCTAAAAAGAATGTTTTGAAGTCTCTCACGCATGTTGCCAAAACAATAAGGAACCTAAAGTTACAGACTTTTAGTTTGTTAGGTTCTTCTTGCAGGTGATTAATGGTGGGATCTAGACGACAAACGGGTGCATCATGGTAATGTTTTCTTCAGTATGAGTTTCACTAGAGTGTAGTATTTTTTTTTTCTGTGTGTGAAACAAAAAGCGCTACTGAGCTGTCCTTGTTTGAACAGTGTTACGATAGCAGGAAGCTGCATGAAACTTCTGGCTTTTGTCAAGTATTTCACGTGCTGAGCTAATACAACATCATGCTTGAATCTTTTGTACATCCCTTCATCTGAACTGAGAATTCTGAAGCAGAATGTTAGGGTTGAATGTTAACAGCCTGAAAGGGAAGAACAGGTGGTAGGTGTACAACCCTGAGGATCAGAGAGCAGTATTGTTTCCTCCCCTTTCCGGCCACAGTCTGAAAAAAACCCCAACCCAACGAAAAACCCCCCAGAAACAATGAAGGAGGCTGGAAGTTTTGGGGGCTTTTACTTCATTCCTGGGCTGCCTCGTGTTGCAGCTCATCTAGGGATGACTGGGCCTAGCTCCACGTGCTCGGCCTCATCCACCACCATCTGCTCCCTGGCACCACTGCAGTCCCTGGTGACGAGTCACAGCGGCCACCGTGCACTTCTCGGATATTTCTGCTCGAGACTACTGGGATTGGGTTTTGCATATAGTTAAATATCCTTTGTCCCTTATTAATTTCCTTTTCCTTTCCCCTGTTTTCATTAAACATTAAAAGTCTTAACTTCCAACTTTCTGTGAAACATCTTTATCCCTGTTTATCTGAGGGGTGACCTCATGAATGTTTATAAATTTGTAAAGGGCAAGTGTCAGGAGGAAGGAGCCAGGCTCTTCTCTGTGATGTCCAATGATAGGATGAGGGGAAATGGAAGCAAGCTGGAGCATAGGAGGTTCAACTTGAACATAAGGAAAAACTATTTTACTTCTAAGGGTGACAGAGCACTGGACCAGGCTGCCCAGAGAGGTTGTGGAGTCTCCTTCTCTGGAGACATTCAAGACCCACCTGGCCGTGTTCCTGTGTGACCTAGTCCAGGTGATCATGCTCTGGCAGGGGGGTTGGACTGGGTGATCTTTGGAGGTCCCTTCCAACTCCTAATATTCTGTGATTCTGTGATTCCCCTGGGAGGTGAGGGACAGGAGAGGGAAAGTCTTGATCACTGTTTCTTTTGGGTTTGCCCGGAGCCCTAAATGAAGACACTAAAGTATACATATGTCTTCATTGAGCAGTGTTGATGACTTTGACTATGTTAGAAAGGGTGGGAAAAAATAAACATGGTTTAAAGCACTTAAATATTTGGAAATTCCTGGAAAAAATGCTTGTTTTGTTTTATAGCAGAAACCCTAACATGAACATGCCCATCTACATCTGTGCTATCACTTTTCTGCATGCCTTATAGAAGTGAAAGAGGATTTTTTTTTCCTGGGAGGTGGAGTGGGGAAGATGCTTTTGATATTATTTCCTGCATAGCTATACTAATGACAAAGATCATTGAACTGAATTCCACTGACATGATCTGAAGATTTTTAAAGAAATACCCTACTGACTGGAAGTTTGTTTAGTATTTAACTTGTTGGTGTATAACCAGATGATGATGGAAACCTAAAGATGAGTTCTCTAAAGAATGTTATGTTTAGCACATCTTAAAAAGAATTTTCTTTGAAATTCTGTATATCAAAACATTTTTGTCCTATAGCTTTATAACAGCTGAAGAGGATTTCTTTCTCCACAGCAAAATAAAACTCTTAAGATCTTATGGATGAGAGATACGGTAGCTGCTAGGATGTGGTTTTGCAATGAGCACTAACTTTCTGTATCTCTCATCTGTAAACTTTAAACCCATGTCATACTTTTCCTTTGAAATGTTTGACTTTTAGATGATTTACAGTCGTCAGCTCCAAACCTTTCAGTGTCAGCATCTAAATAAGGTCCTTTAGATGATGCTAGTAAATAAGAAGGAAGTGGGTTTTGGATTTGGTTCCAATTAGGCATTTGTGCCTTTTCTTCTGTTGTGGCTTAAAAAAAAAGTCTCTTGAAAGTTTTAATAGCCTTCCTGTATTTAATTACAACCAGGCTCCAACAAATAGTTGGTTTCTCTTGGATGGAAAACTTACAAGAAGTATTGTACATTTAACATTTCTGCAATATTGGAGTGTATTTTTTTCCCAAAAAAATTGGTTTGTGGTTAATAAATATTGGTTGTGGTTAATATTGTTTGTACTATACGATTGATCATCAGACACTTCTGTGTTTCTGATTACTATGTTTTAGTTTGTATTTGCCGTAGGGAAAAAAAAAATTAAAGTGACCCTAGAAAACCTAGCAAATTGGTCTAAATTATTTTCTATATTCCATCTTCGTGCATTAGTTTGGCAGTTAGTTTATTGAGATAATGATGAGGTTTAGAAACTATTAGTTTTTGTTTCTGGATCACTTTTTCCCCAGCTAATTGTGTTTAAGGCTTATCTATTTAAGATGGTCTGTTCAGGGCTTTCATGACATGCAACTGGTAACAATTACATACTGCCTGTAGGATACCTACGGCATCATATTGTGTGAAAGTACTTGTGTAAGTACTGTGCATTAAACAGTTTTCTTAGCTGCTATTCTTGATAATTTCTAGTGTTAGCGCACTAGTATAAGTAAGAGCAGAACTTACCACTTGGGGTTTTAATTAGCCAGAATTTG